AGACCTTAGCTGGTGTACTAATACCAACAGTACAGCTTTAATATGGCTTTAATCAATCCTACATTGTTCAACCTTCTATAGATTTCATTATACAGTGAACACTATCTACTTCATCGCCTGAGGAAAGAGATGAAGGTCCACTTACTGCTATAAAAACCACATCAGGTGCAACAAGTAAACAAGGCTGGTGTCTTCTTTGTGCAGATAATTAACAGGAGGTCACCAGTGCAAGTTTCAGGAATTAAGAGGAATAAAAGACTTTGAAGAAATAAAATAAGCACACTGAGGAAAATGAGGTGATGCTTCTTTCCTGACAGCTGGATTGGAACAGATCAAAACACACACAGGAATACAAGAACTGCTGATACACTTAGAAGAGCTAACAAACTCTATATAAGAATTTCAGTGATTACTGTGTATTAAATGCACAATTCTGCTTATAGTGCAATCAATGTTCAAATCTTTACAACTTTTTCTTCTATCTTCTGTATGTAAAAGGCTAGAAATGTAGTGGGCTGACTTTCTTTTGTGCATGAGGGACAATTTCCAATTGTTCTATGTTTTGGTAACAGCCAGATCTGGTATCAGGCTGTTTGCTTTTTGCTACGCAAGAACTCTACATAAGGTTTGTACCTCTATTATAAGCAGACAGTCTGTCACAATTCAAGATGTAAAGCCCATTAGCAACACTAATTTCAAAAGTCCATTCTATTACAACATTCATTTGCAGTTCATAATATGTAAGAGAACATAACAGCAGCCCTGCTAAATGAGGCCAATTGGGATCTGATCACTCAAAAAGCAAAAATGAACTACAGCACTTTCAAAATATATTAAAGAACAACTCCCCCCCAAAAAACAATTCATTAAAAAAGGCACTAGGAAACAGAACAGAAAAACACCCCAAGACCCAATATAATAATACTCCCAAACATAAAACATACATGAGAATACAACAGCAGAACAAACATTGTATACAAAGTTAACTGCTAGTATTGCAATCAGCAGTACCTAGGACAAACAGGGTGCCAGCTTTATCAAAGAATTAAAGAACACATAATTGCAATAAAGAATCAGGATCACAAATCTTTAACAGCCACTGAATACAACCTACACATTTGACTGGGAGAAAACAGAAATAATACATTACACAAATGGCAGGAGAGCCAGAGAATTCCTAGAAGCCTGGCACTCAGATAAATGGCCAGCAACAGATCAATCTACCACCCAGCTAGCCACTTGATCCCGGCCACACACAGCAAGTAGACAAGGTAAATCGATCAAAATAAAGACAACACCAATCCCAAGAACCAATTGATCCTACCTCCTAGAAAATCACCAACTGACACCCCTGAGTTCAAATCTTACACAGGCTACAAATACAGGTAGTTCTTGTTTACCAGCTGCCTTGTTTAGTGACCATTCAAAGTTATAACGGTTGGGGAAAAAAACAGCTTTGCGACCAATCCTCACATTTATGGCCACTGCAGCACCCACAGTCACATGAACACCATTCAGTCATTTCACAACCAGCACAAATTTACGACCGTCAGAGTGTCCTGCGGTCACGTGATTGCCATTTGTGGGTTTCACAACCAGCTTCCAACAGGCAGAATTAATGGAGAACACAGAAGTAAAATTGCAAGTCGCAGTCATGTGATGCCTCACTTATTGACCACAGCGATTCACTTAATGATAGAAGCGGAAGTGATGTTGTAAGTCCAGCGCAGTCACATTATTTTTCACTTAGTGACCGTGGTGCTTAGCGATGGAGTTGCCGGTCCCAATTATGGTTGGTAGGCTAGGACTACCTGTACTGCAAAACCACTCCCACTTCTGAACCATTGCACTGAGGAAGCCTCACTGGGATGTGGGGCAAAACATCGCAAAAGAACCCTGATCAGTGCCTCAGTGTCTGTATCACTTGCAATGTAACAAACATTCCCTCCACCATCTCACTGAATCACTAATAAAAAACAAGAGTACTGTACAAGACCCAGCACGGAATCTGTATAATCCTCTTAATAACTCAGTGCCAGCTGATGAGCATCTTTTGGGTATGATTTTAAGTCCACTACATATCAGCTTAGTAGCTTAATCAGAATGGAACAGAATACATTTAAAGCTTTGCTAAAATGAAGATATTGTATCTTCAGTATTCCCACAATCTACAAAGGAAGATTCCAGACCAAAAAAATTGATAAAGTTAATCTAGCAAGACTTAAATCTTGAAAAATCCATAATGACTTCCAGTAATCATTGTATTATTGTTATAAGTCCTCTAAGAAGACAAGATGGTCTTTTTCTGGTCACTCAGCAGATGATAAACACCAAAAGGTCTGACTTGGTATATAGCAATTTCCTGGATTCTTCAAGCTGGAAAGTTACAGAACTCTTCCCAAAGGGAAAGGTAAAAAGCTTAAATCAAAAGCGTGGTGGAAGAGAAGATTTGTGATGTTTCTACCCAAACCAAAGTACGTAAAATCTTAAAATCTAAGTACCTGAGAAAGTCCATTAGCCCTTGGCAGAATATGTGGAACAGCTTTCTAGAAGCATTCGAGAAGTTTGAAAAAGAAACATAAATTCTTTGGTGTGACAGGGTACGTGTCAGTGGATTTGCAACTGGCTGAACAGCTGTATTCAAAAAGTTACTGCCAATTCCATCATCCTGAAGGGAATTTTCTAATCAGAACCCCCAAGGCTCCATCCTAAACACATTGCTGTTCCACGTTTTCATAAAGAACACAGAGCAGAGATCCTCAAACAGCCCCAGGGAACTGCAAACGTTTTTTAAACCTGATCGGGACTGCACAAAGCCCACCCTGGACTTTGCTCTCTATTTTGCCCATGAAAGTCCACTGTGGGTGCAGGCGATGCAGGGGACAAGGCCCAGAGCAAATTCTGACAGTGCAGCAATGGCCTGAGACCAGCTCGGCGATCCCTTTTCAACTAGTGCCCCCTCTCCCAGCCTATCCGTCAGCAGCCTAAGGAGCCCCACGGAGGCTGGAAGAGTAGAAAGCAAAGTCGATTCAAGCCAGCACATTAACACGCCCCAGAGGGATGGCGGGCAAGTCTATTTCCTCTTGGGGCCAATGGTTCCACAGTCAAACTGTTCTGACTGGCAAGCGAATGTTTCTAATAACAACTTGGAATCTTCCTTCTTTTAACTAGAATCTATCATTCTGAGTCCTGCAGCTGGAGCAATACATTTTATTATTCTCCCTGTTTTCTGAGGTGTTAGCTGTCCGGCTTAATCCTATATGAATTGTGTATGTGATCAGGAGTCCCTCCTATCATCTCAGAAGTTACTGATAGTGCTGAAGATTCCTGGGATGGAGCAAGATTATAGGTCTCAGCAGGCAAGCGTCCAGGGGAGAAGAGGAGGAGTGTCAAAAGATCCAAACTTCCTTCTCAGCTACAACAAGCAGTCAACAAATTCAGCAGAAAGCGATACCAACCCAACACCTTCAGTCCACCTAAGCAATCCAAATACATGCCCAAACACTGGTATACTCAGGCCCCAGGAAAAGCACCCAACGGGATGCTCTTCCCTACAGTCTGTGCTTCTGCACCTTTCACCCTCCAGCTGCTGCCACCATTACTCCCATGAACTGGAAGACTCTTGGAGAAGTCCCAATGGGATCTGGGTCTGAAGGCACTTTGGCTGCTGAGGCCAGTCCTTCTCCACTGACCCCACTGAGCCTTGGTTCCTGGCTCTCATCAGTCTCTGAGGTCCCACCTAGTCCCTCTGTGACCTTTGAAGGTGAGTCCTTCATGGAAGCTGTGACAAGAGCCATAATGCACCCAACTCAACACTATCTACTCATGTTGGCATGGTGGTCTAAGACTGTAACAAAATTTACCTAGCTACCATCTATTCATTCAAGGAAGAGCTATTTACAAGCACTGGATGGATCGTATATAAAGAAATAATACGTTTAACCAGTTTAGTTAGGAAAACATTATCTTAATGTCAGCAAACTAGTAAACCACAACCAAAAGAAGTAAGATTAGCCTAGCAGGACTGACTTCTTGAAAATCATGCTGGCTTTCATTAACCACTATATATCTTTATGATGCTTACAGAGTGACTTGCAAAATGTCTCCCATCAATGTCAGGTTGATCAGAATCCTACTTTTTCCACATGGAACAACTGTTTTCAGTGCCACAAGACCTTGCTCGTATTCAAGAATGAGACTAGACGGCCATTCTAAGCATGCATCAGCCTGATCTGCAGTGACTCACAACTTGGTCTCTTGAAGGACACCATCAGTCACTTCTATGCAGGAATGATGTTGAACCCAATTCATCACCTTTCACTACATATTTCCTTACACTCATCCAAGCTCTACATTATGTAAATCTGTTGCTTCACTCCTTAGGCAAGCAGGAAAATTATAACATTTATTCAAGATCTTCCGAGGCAATACTACGAGATAATCTTAAACCTGTACGATGGCTATCTTCTTCTTCAACACCACCATCTAGTGGCAGTCATCTACTAGAATATTATTAGATTGCTATCTTGCATGTTTATGATTTATTCAAGAGGTCCAGCCTTTTTTTATTAGTAACTCAATATTCTGAAATGGAGAAATATGATAGGAAGGAAGAGAGCACATTTCCAATGCAGCAAGAGAGCATCAGAAGAAAATGCTTAAGGCAATGAAATACTCTTCTTCTGACATTTAAAGTCCCTATCTCTCCTATCAACACTCTGCTCAGTCTTTGGGGTTGTCAAACTATAACACAACTTCTGACTTGGTGCTGGCCTCCATTTTGCCTCAGGCTTATGCCATCCTAAGAAGGGGGCTTCTGGAGTTCTTTGGAGGACTTCAGAGATGCAGGGAAGCAGCTCTCACAAATTTCCCTTTCTCTTTATTGCAAGCATTCAGTAGAGAAAGCCCTACCCACCAGGCAACTCCAAGAAGGATGGCCTCAGCCTTCAGCTTCTGTTCATATATAGCTAAACACATCAACAGAACTTCTGTGTGAAAACCTCCTGGTGTCTTTGCAAACTAAAGCTGTTCTACCACATCAGATGCGAATGTATGTATATTAGGGGTATGCAGCTATTCCAATCCAAAGCAAGAATGCTGCTTCAGAACCAGCACTGGGGTGCTCGCTGTGTCTTCAGGAACACAGTCCTTTCCCTGGATCTCCACTGTAGCTGTACAGTATGGGAGGAAGGAGACACCATGACAAAAATATCCTCAACTTCCCCTTTACGGGTCCTGCCCTTACTGTATTTGAGAAGCCCTTTAAAAAGAGTCAAGCTGGAGGGGAGTTCACAGTGGTGGCAACAGCAAAAGGAAGAGAAGAGAAGCTGGAGAAGATATCAGAAGACACCAACAAAGAACAGAAGACTGGAAGAACGAAGAAAGAAAAAACAGAGAAGGAAGGGAGGGCACAGAACAGCATGACGAAAGAGCAGTGGGAGCATCCAGAAGCAGCCTTCAGTAGCAAGCAAACTGGATGAGCTGCCACAGGCTGCGGGGGTGGGGGGGCAGCTGCAGCATCCTTGGCTGCAGATGACCGCTCAGAAGATGGAGCAGCCAGAGGATGACTTCATCCATCTGGCAGCCACAGAGGCTGGCACAACCAGGCAGCAGCCTCAGCCGGGGCATGCGCTTCTGGCAACCTGGAGCACCGCCCTCTGGAGCCTTCAGGTCCCGGCAGCACAAAGCGGACCAAACCACAGGCAAAAGTGAAGCAGAGCCCAAAGCAGACGCCTGCCCAACTCCTTGGATGGCTGCAGCCCTCCAGAGGAAGCCAAGCCAGACGGAGACTGCTGCGACTCTCTACCCAGCAGCAGACCCAGCCAAGCCACAGAGGGAGTTACGGGGCTGGGTGAGGGCCGATGTTCATCTGAGAACCCCAAGAGGTAAAGGAGCTGTTGATGCAAGGACTGGAGAAGAACACAAGGACTCAAAACTGCAGGAAGTAGAGATACAGGCAGTAAAACAGTAAAGAAGTTAGGACAAAAGATAGAAAACCAAGCACTGGAGAAACAAATTATGATTTCTAGAAACCAGAAACACTTTGGGTTCTAAAGTGCAAAGACGACTTTAGTTTAGATTACCCGTTTCTAAGAAAACCCCATTTAAACGGGCTTCTGTATCTCACTATCTCCAACTGGTCCATCTCACAAACAAATCTATTACACTTAGCTGAGTTAAGAAGGCCGTATCAGAATGATGATGTGGTCATATGTATTTTCCTTCAATAAAGTTTCACACTGTATTCCTCATTTCAAATAAATGCCTAGTAAACATGGCAGAGAAAAGCAATGATTTTACTACTTTAGGCTCTGTAATAACCAACTGATTCCAAGAAAGAGGGAATATGCAGCTTTTCATATTATACCTTGAAGCAACCTTAGAATTTGCAGATTAAGTTAGAAGCAATCAGAAATTTAGACTTTAATGATGAACCAAAGATCAGAGAGGTAGGAGAACATGAAGCTGGAAGAGAGCCACCTGCTGTAGGCCTCCTGCATTGCTTCCCATAGGTCATGATCCCTGTTGCTGGTGAGAGTTGGAGTTCCCCACCTTTAACTGACCGTAAAACACTTATGACCAAACAGGCCAACCTCCTCTGGAATTCAGACTGGTTCCCACAGCTGTTCTGAAATAAAAGCTTTTTCTCCTACCTTGATTGGTGAAATGTGAGAGTGAGAAACGAAGCCACGGATACTTTCAAGTTGTGAAAGGTTCTTCTCAGACACATGGACAAGCTCTGGAGCCGGCACCACTGTGCTCGGAGCCTGAGGAAAGCTGCTGGGTTCCAACAAAAAAGTTTCTTCATCTTGGGAGTATTTCTGCAATGTTCACAGAGAGGCAATTTTTAGAACCAGACCAAATTCAACCACAGCATTAGTCTTCCAAGGAAGACAGAACAGTACTGCTAAGGTGCAAAACCACTGCTGAGTTCCTGCACCCAAAACCTCCCACGTGGCATGTCAAGGTACTTTTCACAGGCCTTCATGGCTGCTGCCACCACCTACAGATGCCTTTCGCCTCTTTATGTTACTTAGACCGTGCCTTTTTGCAAGCCTGCATTCAAAGCAGCTTCATTCAGAAATACGTTTTTCACCTAACATATTTATACACTGCCTATTATGGCATCCCAAGCATTATGCCCAAGACACAATTCCCTATCAAGGGTAACCAAGATCCTACAAAGCACCAAAAAGGAGTGAAAAACTGTAAACCGCAGAAGTCAAAGACACAAGGCAAGAAAAGGAAGCATAGCTGAAGGGAACAGTCCGGAGAAGGTGATGGATAGTTCTGGTAATTCATTGATTAGCGTATATCAATCAAGAGCAAAATATCAATCAAGAGCAAAATAGAACCCCCATCTCCACCAGCACTGGGAAGGCAGGCCACAGCAGATAAACAGAGAGCAAACCCATTCTAGCACTGAAGATGTTACCTAGCCGGATAATGAAACGTTTGCAAGAAAA